TCTGATAAGTCTCAAAATTAAATGGGCTCAACTAGAGATCAAGGGGAACCTACATATGAAATTTGAGAAAGATCCATCATGTGATTTTCAAGAAATAGCCGTAACAATCTTCATTGAAAAAATCCAAGATGGATGCCTGTCAGCCATTTTGTTTTTCTGATCAGCCTCAAAATTAATGCAGCCACAACTAAAGAGCAAGGGTAACCTACATATTAAGTTTGAGAAAGATCCATCCTGTACTTCTCAAGAAACAGCAATAACAAACATTATTTATGGATCGATGGACATACAAACCACAGACGACAGACCACCGACATAGGGAGATTTGAAAAGTCCGCCATCTGATATTGGTGCGCTAAAAATCTTTGAAATTTTTGAAATCTTAATGTTTACAAACTGATAAAAGGACAACATTTAGACAATAGAGTTCTAGACAGCACTGGTGGTCAATCAGTGTCAAACAGCGCTGGTAGTCTATCGGTGTCAAACACCTTTTATCGTTATATGACAATGATTTTTTATTTCAATGATTTCTTGTGACCTTACTTATAGGCATTCTTTTGATAAAACTTGAAACAACTTTAGATTCAGGAGATGCAGTGATAACAAGGTTTTCAAGATGGGGGCTAAAACTCCTGTACATAGCATTATCTCTTTCAGAAATACTGGAAACAAGATCTTCAATATTGCAGCAATAGCTTTCATCTCAAATGTACAAACATGGAGTTCATACAGGACTGTCTACCTTTTCGATCAGGTGAAGAAGTAATTACAAGGTCTTCCAGATAGTTGCCAAGGTGGACATCTTTGAGGATCACATGGGTTCAAATTGGGGACAATGGCCCTATAATTAATGGAGCTTATGTCTTTGTATCAATATCCTTTTAGGAGAAGTAGTGATATTTAAGATATTGTTTACAGATAGACAGAATGCGAACATTAAAATACCTAATATAATAAGCTCTTCTTACTTTGTAGTGATAAAACACCCTCGTAACAGGAGGGACAAAGAGAGCACAGGAGTATTAGGAGGGACACAAAGAGCACAGGAGTATTAGGAGGGACACAAAGAGCATAGGAGTATTAGGAGGGACACAAAGAGCACAGGAGTATTAGGAGGGACACAAAGAGCACAGGAGTATTAGGAAGGACACAGAGAGCACAGGAGTATTAGGAAGGACACAGAGAGCACAGGAGTATTAGGAGGGACACAGAGAGCACAGGAGTATTAGGAGGGACACAAAGACCACAGGAGTATTAGGAAGGACACAGAGAGCACAGGAGTATTAGGAAGGACACAGAGAGCACAGGAGTATTAGGAGGGACACAGAGAGCATAGGAGTATTAGGAGGGACACTAAGAGCACAGGAGTATTAGGAGGGACACAAAGACCACAGGAGTATTAGGAGGGAAACAAAGAGCACAGGAGTATTAGGAGGGACACAGAGAGCACAGGAGTATTAGGAGGGACACAGAGAGCACAGGAGTATTAGGAGGGACACAGAGAGCACAGGAGTATTAGGAGGGACACAGAGAGCACAGGAGTATTAGGAGGGACACAGAGAGCACAGGAGTATTAGGAGGGACACAGAGAGCACAGGAGTATTAGGAGGGACACAGAGAGCACAGGAGTATTAGGAGGGACACAGAGAGCACAGGAGTATTAGGAGGGACACAAAGAGTACAAGAGTATTAGGAGGGACACAAAGAGCACAGGAGTATTAGGAGGGACACAGAGAGCACAGGAGTATTAGGAGGGACACAAAGAGCACAGGAGTATTAGGAGGGACACAAAGAGCACAGGAGTATTAGGAGGGACACAAAGAGCACAGGAGTATTAGGAGGGACACAAAGAGAACAGGAGTATTAGGAGGGACACAAAGAGCACAGGAGTATTAGGAGCACAGGAGTATTAGGAGGGACACAAAGAGCACAGGAGTATTAGGAGGGACACAAAGAGCACAGAAGTATTAGGAGGGACACAAAGAGTACAGGAGAATTAGGAGGGACACAGAGAACACAGGAGTATTAGGAGGGACACAAAGAGCACAGGAGTATTAGGAGGGACACAAAGAGCACAGAAGTATTAGGAGGGACACAAAGAGCACAGGAGTATTAGGAGGGACACAAAGAGCACAGGAGTATTAGGAGGGACACAAAGAGCACAGAAGTATTAGGAGGGACACAAAGAGCACAGAAGTATTAGGAGGGACACAAAGAGCACAGAAGTATTAGGAGGGACACAAAGAGTACAGGAGAATTAGGAGGGACACATAGAACACAGGAGTATTAGGAGGGACACAAAGAGCACAGGAGTATTAGGAGGGACACAAAGAGCACAGAAGTATTAGGAGAGACACAAAAACCACAGGAGTATTAGGAGGGACACAAAGAGCACAGGAGTATTAGGAGGGACACAAAGACCACAGGAGTATTAGGAGGGACACAAAGAGCATAGGAGTATTAGGAGGGACACAAAGAGCACAGGAGTATTAGGAGGGACACAAAGAGCACAGACACAAAGAGCACAGAGTTTAGGAGGGACACAAAGAGCACAGAAGTATTAGGAGGGACACAAAGAGTACACAAAGAGCACAGGAGTATTTGGAGGGACACATTCAGCACATGAGTATGAGTTGGGACACAAAGAGTACAGGAGTATTAGGAGGGACACAAAGAGTACAAGAGTATTAGGAGGGACACAAAGAGCACAAGAGTATTAGGAGGAACACAAAGAGCACAGGAGTATTAGGAGGGACACAAAGACCACATGAGTATTAGGAGGGACACAAAGAGTACAGGAGTATTAGGAGGGACACAGAGAGCACAGGAGTATTAGGAGGGACACAAAGAGCACAGGAGTATTAGGAGGGACACAAAGAGCACAGAAGTATTAGGAGGGACACAAAGAGCACAGAAGTATTAGGAGGGACACAAAGAGTACAGGAGAATTAGGAGGGACACATAGAACACAGGAGTATTAGGAGGGACACAAAGAGCACAGGAGTATTAGGAGGGACACAAAGAGCATAGGAGTATTAGGAGGGACACAAAGAGTACAAGAGTATTAGGAGGGACACAAAGAGCACAGGAGTATTAGGAGGGACACAAAGACCACAGGAGTATTAGGAGGGACACAAAGAGCATAGGAGTATTAGGAGGGACACAAAGAGTACAAGAGTATTAGGAGGGACACAAAGAGCACAAGAGTATTAGGAGGAACACAAAGAGTACAGGAGTATTAGGAGGGACACAAAGAGCACAGGAGTATTAGGAGGGACACAAAGAGCACAGGAGTATTAGGAGGGACACAAAGAGCACAGGAGTATTAGGAGGGACACAAAGACCACAGGAGTATTAGGAGGGACACAAAGAGCATAGGAGTATTAGGAGGGACACAAAGAGTACAAGAGTATTAGGAGGGACACAAAGAGCACAGGAGTATTAGGAGGGACACAAAGAGCACAGAAGTATTAGGAGGGACACAAAGAGCACAGGAGTATTAGGAGGGACACAAAGAGCACAGGAGTATTAGGAGGGACACAAAGAGTACAAGAGTATTAGGAGGGACACAAAGAGCACAGGAGTATTAGGAGGGACACAGAGAGCACAGGAGTATTAGGAGGGACACAGAGAGCACAGGAGTATTAGGAGGGACACAGAGAGCACAGGAGTATTAGGAGGGACACAGAGAGCACAGGAGTATTAGGAGGGACACAAAGAGCACAGGAGTATTAGGAGGGACACAAAGAGCACAGGAGTATTAGGAGGGACACAAAGAGTACAGGAGAATTAGGAGGGACACAGAGAACACAGGAGTATTAGGAGGGACACAAAGAGCACAGGAGTATTAGGAGGGACACAAAGAGCACAGAAGTATTAGGAGGGACGCAAAGAGTACAGGAGAATTAGGAGGGACACAGAGAACACAGGAGTATTCGAAGGGACACAAAGACCACAGGAGTATTAGGAGGGCCACAAAGAGCATAGGAGTATTAGGAGGGACACAAAGAGTACAGGAGTATTAGGAGGGACAGAAAGAGCACAAGAGTATTAGGAGGGACACAAAGAGTACAGGAGTATTAGGAGGGACACAAAGAGCACAGGAGTATTAAGAGGGACACAGAGAGCACAGGAGTATTAGGAGGGACACAGAGAGCACAGGAGTATTAGGAGGGACACAGAGGCCACAGGAGTATTAGGAGGGACACAGAGAGCATAGGAGAATTAGGAGGGACACAAAGAGCACAGGAGTATTAGGAGGGACACAGAGACCACAGGAGTATTAGGAGGGACACAAAGACAACAGGAGTATTAGGAGGGACACAAAGAGCACAGGAGTTTTAAGAGGGACACAGAGAGCACAGGAGTATTAGGAGGGACAGAAAGAGCACAGGAGTTTTAAGAGGGACACAAAGAGCACAGGAGTATTAGGAGGGACACAGAGAGCACAGGAGTATTAGGAGGGATATAGAGAGCACAGGAGTTTTAGGAGGGACACAAAGAGCACAGGAGTATTAGGAGGGACACAGAGAGCACAGGAGTATTAGGAGGGATACAGACAGCACAGGAGTATTAGGAGGGACACAGAGAGCACAGGAGTATTAGAAGGGACACAAAGACCACAGGAGTATTAGGAGGGACACAAAGAGCACAGGAGTATTAGGAGGGACACAAAGAGCAGAGGAGTATTAGGAGGGACACAGAAAACACAGGAGTATTAGGAAGGACACAGAGAGGACAGGAGTATTAGGAGGGACACAAAGAGCACAGGAGTATTAGGAGGGACACAGAGAGCACAGGAGTATTAGGAGGGACACAGAGAGCACAGGAGTATTAGGAGGGACACAAAGAGCACAGGAAGAAAGAGCATGTAGAAGGGAATTGGACATATCAATATTATAAGTATTACAATAGGGACAGCTGATCTATTTGGCGTCTTCAATGTCCCTTTAAAAGACAGAGAGAAAAAAAAAAAAAAAATTCCCACTTATCGTTACCTCCAGTAACCATGCTGTAGAATACAGCAGACTTTTAATATGGGCTCTCAGATGCCCAGTTAACAGAAGACCTCAGAGAAACCAATCTGAGCTATGAGAGGTGCTCCATAATTAGTCACACCTCTCAACATACTGTGAGATAAATTAAGCAAGCATATTTTCCTCGGACTCTTTTTCAGAATGTCTTTATTCAGTATAACTAGCAATTCATCAATAGTGTACTTAGTGTATTGATAAACCACTATAAGATCTTGTTTTACTTATCACATTATCTTAAAAAATTGTATTGATTGATGAAACCTTCCATTTGTTGTATCATATATCTGTAATACACACTATCTTACATCTGATAGATAAATCAACAGTTAGACTATGGTACCTACCTCACCTCCAGATATCAGCAGATTGCTTTCTTTTATATACACCAGACTGGTAACATACCTGGAATTTGTTATACATTATAACAGGTGTGCACTTAATTAATTTACGTTTCATGTTTTTGATAAAATCAGATAATTGTGAAGTCTTAATTCTGACAAATGACGTAGTAAGATATACATATTACACAAAGGGTATTACATATGTATCTTAAAATCAAACTCAGATTATAACTATTAAAATTTTAATAAATTTAAAAACACAGGCTCTTTCTGGAATATTCAAATTCATGGTTTGAACAAAAGCTCTAGTAGGTAAATTTACATATTGTGTAAACAAGTTATACAATTTATTTAAATATACCAGTCAAAAAACAAATAAACACACTGTATTAATTTCACAATAATTATACATATTGTTATAACAGTTGTGATATTATCTGATAGACTTAGAGATAACTCTTATTCAAAAAGGTATCTCTCACCTACTAATTTCTTCTGTTTTTTTATTTAGAGAAAATATATGTGAAATATGAGGTCCTAATATAATCATCTCTGGCACCATAACTGGAATCATAATGAGGATGGAGGATGTGTGGTTGACCTTTGACCACAGGATGCAGACATACAAAACTGATACAGAATAAACATTTACAAGTATATCCATGACATTTCTTGGGCCTGCATTGCCCAAGACAAGTTATTGTCTACAGAAAAAATTTGAAGGGACGGAAAGACATTTGGTATCACAAAGGGTAGTATCTTGTGTCATTTTAAATAGGTTCATCTCCCAGTCTGAATGACTCAAACTTGAACTTAGAATTCTAATCCTCCGAACTGAATACTCATTGCTTATGTTCAAGACAGAATACTCACCTTCCTTGTCCCAGACAAAAGGGTAGAATGCTCTACCTCTATGTCCCAGACAGAAGGTCAGAATGCTCTACCTCTATGTAGCAGACAAAAGGGTAGAATGCTCAACCTCTTTGTCCCAGACAGAAGGTCAGAATGCTCTACCTCTATGTCCTAGACAGAAGGTCAGAATGCTCTACCTATATGTCCCAGACAGAAGGTCAGAATGCTCAACCTCTATGTCCCAGACAGAAGGTCAGAATGCTCTACCTATATGTCCCAGACAGAAAGTCAGAATGCTCTACCTCTATGTCCCAGACAGGTCAGAATGCTCTACCTCTATGTCCCAGACAGAAGGTCAGAATGCTCTACCTCTATGTCCCAGACAGAAGGTCAGAATGCTCAACCTCTATGTCCCAGACAGAAGGGTAGAATGCTCAACCTCTATGTCCCAGACAAAAGGGTAGAATGCTCTACCTCTATGTAACAGACAGAAGGTCAAAATGCTCTACCTCTATGTCCAAGACAGAAGGTTTGAATGCTCAACCTCTATGTCCCAGACAAAAGGGTAGAATGCTCAACCTATATGTCCCAGACAAAAGGGTAGAATTCTCAACCTCTGTCCCAGATAAAAGGTCAGAATGCTCAACCTCTATGTCCCAGACAGAAGGTCAGAATGCTCTACCTCAATGTCCAAGACAGAAGGTTTGAATGCTCAACCTCTATGTCCCAGACAAAAGGGTAGAATGCTCAACCTATATGTCCCAGACAAAAGGGTAGAATTCTCAACCTCTGTCCCAGACAGAAGGTCAGAATGCTCTACCTCAATGTCCCAGACAGAAGGTCAGAATGCTCTACCTCTATGTTTCAGACAAAAAGGTAGAATGCTCAACCTCTGTCCCAGACAGAATGTCAGAATGCTCTACCTCTATGTCCCAGACAGAAGGTCAGAATGCTCTACCTCTATGTCCCAGACAAAAGGTCAGAATGCTCAACCTCTATGTCCCAGACAGAAGGTCAGAATGCTCTACCTCTATGTCCCAGACAGAAGGTCAGAATGCTCTACCTCTATGTCCCAGACAAAAGGGTAGAATGCTCAACCCCTATGTCCCAGACAGAAGGTCAGAATGCCTTACCTCTATGTCCCAGACAGAAGGTCAGAATGCCTTACCTCTATGTCCCAGGCAGAAGGTCAGAATGCTCTACTTCTATGTACCAGACAAAGGGGTAGAATGCTCAACCTCTTTGTCCCAGACAGAAGGTCAGAATGCTCAACCTCTATGTCCAAGACAAAGGGGTAGAATGCTCAACCTCTTTGTCCCAGACAGAAGGTCAGAATGCTCAACCTCTATGTCCAAGACAGAAGGTCAGAATGCTCTACCTCTATGTCCAAGACAGAAGGTCAGAATGCTCTACCTCTATGTCCCAGACAAAAGGGTAGAATGCTCAACCCCTATGTCCCAGACAGAAGGTCAGAATGCTCTACCTCTATGTCCCAGACAGAAGGTCAGAATGCTCAACCTCTTTGTCCCAGACAGAAGGTCAGAATGCTCAACCTCTATGTCCAAGACAAAGGGGTAGAATGCTCAACCTCTTTGTCCCAGACAGAAGGTCAGAATGCTCAACCTCTATGTCCAAGACAGAAGGTCAGAATGCTCTACCTCTATGTCCAAGACAGAAGGTCAGAATGCTCTACCTCTATGTCCCAGACAAAAGGGTAGAATGCTCAACCTCTATGTCCCAGACAGAAGGTCAGAATGCTCAACCTCTATGTCCCAGACAGAAGGTCAGAATGCTCAACCTCTATGTCCCAGACAGAAGGTCAGAATGCTCTACCTCTATGTCATAGACAGAAGGTCAGAATGCTCTACCTCTATGTCCCAGACAGAAGGGTAGAATGCTCTACCTCTATGTCATAGACAGAAGGTCAGAATGCTCTACCTCTATGTCCCAGACAAAAGGGTAGAATGCTCTACCTCTATGTCCCAGACAGAAGGTCAGAATGCTCTACCTCTATGTAGCAGACAAAAGGGTAGAATGCTCAACCTCTTTGTCCCAGACAGAAGGTCAGAATGCTCTACCTCTATGTCCTAGACAGAAGGTCAGAATGCTCTACCTATATGTCCCAGACAGAAGGTCAGAATGCTCAACCTCTATGTCCCAGACAGAAGGTCAGAATGCTCTACCTATATGTCCCAGACAGAAGGTCAGAATGCTCACCTCTATGTCCCAGACAGGTCAGAATGCTCTACCTCTATGTCCCAGACAGAAGGTCAGAATGCTCTACCTCTATGTCCCAGACAGAAGGTCAGAATGCTCAACCTCTATGTCCCAGACAGAAGGTTTGAATGTTCTACCTCTATGTCCCAGACAGAAGGGTAGAATGCTCAACCTCTATGTCCCAGACAGAAGGTCAGAATGCTCTACCTCTATGTCATAGACAGAAGGTCAGAATGCTCTACCTCTATGTCCCAGACAGAAGGGTAGAATGCTCTACCTCTATGTCCCAGACAGAAGGGTAGAATGCTCAACCTCTTTGTACCAGACGGAATGTTACAATACTCACCCTCTATGCCCCAGACAGAAGGTATGGATGTTGTAACAGTTTGGATAATGGCTGACCCGAATCTTCTCATCTCGATCACAGGTCACAATGTACTGGTCATCTTTGGTCAGTACCTGCTCAGACAAAAAAAATCCTTGTAACAGTAAAATACTAGGAAAAGGATCTATTTATCCTTAAAAAAAATTACCATGGAAATGTCAGAGTGTTGTACATTTTTGTAAATGATTTTGACAGAATGAGAAAAGAAGAGGATATTATTACACAAATTAACTATCTATCAGTTATAGATATAGATTGAATCAGCTTTTTACCGAGATGGAAGAGAGAGACTACTGTGTCACTACAAAGGACCTCCATGGCCATACAAGCAGTATAAGCAGTGACAAACTTTTGTAATCAAAAGATTTCAATTGATTTTTTTCCCTTGGAAAGGAAATACTTCATTGTAACACAAAACATTTGCTGGTACCTTGGACTTAACACAATTCTGGTTATTTAGAATACTGTTTTTATACTGTTATATTGTAAAGGGTATATATGTTTTTGTTACTTAACTGAAAGATGTTCTGCAATTTGGGTTAAAATTGAGTAAAAACTGTGACCAAATTCATTTGGTCCTACAGAAATTTTGTGGGAACATACCACATCCAGCAACATCGAGAGGTGACCAAGCATGAGTTGTGCCCCTTTGTTATCCTCTTCAGACTTCGAGTTTTCCTCTGTTTCCCCATTCCCTACTCTGTATCGGTACACATCCCCTGTTTTGTCTGCGACAAGAACGTGAAGGTCATCATTGGTAAAGGTCACAGCTGTACAACGACGGGGAAGTTCTCTACAACATGCAAATAAACAGCAACAGTAAATATGTGTTTCCAATTTAAGAATGAGTACCGTTCACATTGTGTTGATGCTGGAAATGATGTTTGTATTTCTGTACTTCAATGCTTTGTCTTTTGTTGTAAGTCCTTTTAACTTGTAAACTTACAATCTTTTTGTTTTGTTAATTTTTTTCATTAATTCTAATTGAGGGGCTGGGTTGGGGTTGGGGGGTGGGGGGGTGGGGTGGTGGGGGGAGTTGAACTCTTTTCAGTATTTCTTGAACCTTGCTGTATTTTTCCGACTTCTTTTTCCCATATCGATATTTCATGCTGAATAAAATCTGTATGATAAATTGACAATCTTGGAATAATTGAAAGTAGTTAACTATTGACACCAATGCTTAGTGCTAGGACTCTTCCAGTATCTTAGAAAATCTTCCCATGAACACAATCATGTGCTTTTCAGAAAGGAAGTTCCCTATTGCACTAACCACGGGCAATCTTTTCCTATTGCACTAACCACGGGCAATCTTTTCATGTTCTTTTTCCAATTTGCCTTACAGCTTTCCAACATTTGAGATATGATTATAAGACTGTACCTTCCTCAACTGACCCAAGCTAGATATAAAGTCCTAGTTTGTTCTCTACTATAAGGTACTACAGCCATAGACATATTGACCTCTGGTTGACCTCAACAACACCTTAAACTGCTAGTCTGGCACTAAACTTTCATCAATAATAAATTTCAGACGAACTGTTACACATCCTTTACACATTAACATTGTCAGGCAAGCGTATCAACTTATCATGCACATTTAATCACAAAATTCTCTACCAAACAAATTGAACCAAGAGGTCTACGGAGCATGTAGAACTCTGGTGGTCTGTCAGTAATTTTGATGCTTATCATAACAATGTAGAAGAGATTTTTAAGTAGGAGTTGATCAAAGATTTAATTCTTATAAACACAAATGTAGGTCAAGAATACTCATTTGTATAACCTTGATGGCCCTTTAGCTTGTTATCAATCTGGGATTCACGGTACTCAAGAAGAAGACACATAAAGATTTAAACATATTTTAATCTTGTAACCTTAAATATACATCATGGTCATTAACTGAACAAATTTGATGATCCAAGCAGTTATAACACAGGCCATGCAGTTTTTAGGAAGAATCTGTTTACATTGAAACAAAGACCTCAGGTATTCTGTGGTAGCTGTGGTGACAGGAAAAATCATATCAGCTGATTACGTTCTATTTTATTATTTTCATCTTTATATAATCATTGTCACACTGACAAACAAATGTCCCGGTTTTAATGTTAAACCTTGTTCTGAATGATGATAAAAAGAGGACTTTCTTTTACCATGCAAACATGTTTAAGATACAGCAGTCATATACTGACAGAATTTTTATAAAATCTTGTTCCCTTAGAGTGTATTGGTTTTTGGTTTATTGTTGCCTCAAGTCCTATCAAAAGCCAGATTCATTTAAGGACGTGCCAGGTTTTGGTGGTTCCTGGAGAAAAAACACTGACCTGCAACTGCACCAGGTAGTTCTGAAACCTGCGACAAAGAAGTGAAAGGCTGGTGATAACAATGGTCATACCACTTGACCACTGTGACCTCTCCATTAAAGATTAAAGCTTTCAATTGAAATGTTGTATTCATAGTGATGGATCCAATGTACATGTGTGTTGGGAACAAATGTCCCCCAAATGTTGGAGATTTCCTCTATCACTTCGATATGTAAGGTTGTTGGAACTGGTATCATAAAGCTATAAACTTCATTTATTTTAAAACAATTCAAAAAGCTCTCAGCTTACATTTGTATATCTACCATTCTTGTTGGCCCCGATGGAGACGTGAGAGTGTTCTTATTGTGGGAAGAATCCAGAACACCACGGGTAAACAAACCCATATGATGGGACATGTGACCTTTAACCTTTACCATCCAACCATTAAGCTTTTATTTTGTCAGTGTTTTCGGTACATGGTCAGTGCTGTTGTATATGGTTTGTGCTATGGAACATATAGTCAGTGCTAAGGTAAATGGTTGGTGCTAGAATATAAATAGTCAATATTTGGTGAGTGCCAACCTAAATATGGTCAATGCTAGAGTACCATACAGAGTTTCACTGAATCATTAGAGCTGTTGTACTGAGGTACTCAACCTCATTGTCAGCCCTCTGTACAAAGTGAATTCAGGTTCCTTACATAACCACCTCAGACATCTTCATGTTCTTGGTGATATATAGACACACCCCAGAGAGGCTTGCTGTACTCGTTACCGAGTAACAAAAAGGCTAGCAATAACATCTGGCATTCAAATCAACAAAATGTATTCTGAGCCTTAAACTGAGAGCACAAAGAATTATTATAGAAAAATGGAGACATGAATACACCATATTTTGAAAGAAGACGAGACTGATATTTTGAAACATTTATCAAAAGGATGTGTTAATTTGCTGGGTAGTTGTATCCAATGTCATCACCGTTCATTATCACCACTCCTTTTGTACACAATGAGCACACCAATCAGGTGCATTTAATTAGACCTCACAGCATCAATTATCATTTGATTTTTATCAAAAATTACTACCTTTCCTGTAAAAATTATGTCCCCTGTTACGTACAGTATTACTCGTACCTAATGAAACGTAGAGTTGGTAAAACTACAGGTATAATTATGTATATCAACTTCACTTAATTAACACTAAGAAATAAGCCTGTACTTTTAATTCCTAATGACCTTGACCTTTAAGTTTAGGGTGTACCATTTGATAAATGGTTTCCATAGTAACTGTTTCTAAAATGGTACAAAAGGAAAAGATACTAAAACTAAATTGAAACAGAAATTAATTACATTACTCTGTGAACTGAGTATTTTCTTTCAAGTGAAAAACTTAAAATTCAGCATTTATATATCTATCAGCCTACCTAACCAGCGTGTAAGTGATAGGCATGTGTCGTTTCTCTCTCATCACATGTCTTGATCTTTCTAAGAAAATGGGAGGAAAAAAATGCATGAGTAATAGAAAGAGGAATTAGTTAGGATGTCATCCGACCACTGCTAGATTACTCGACATCTTTCATTCTGTGGTTTTTGCCGACACACACATCCTGATGAGAAATTGGTGCACAAAAGGTATTTGTTTTTAATGATCGAAAATCAACATCCTCCCATGGAACCTGAGAAATCTATTCTCTGTGATTATACATCAGGAGGGACAGATCCCATCATCTCGATCTCTACAATGTTTTATGTACGTCAAACATTTCTACGACCATGCTACATTTCTGTTTACACTCACGCTGAATCTTGTAGCATGATAAATTTATTACGTTATCTTTCGCAGCCTTTCGGAGTTTGCGGGATTTATTTTGTTAGCGTGGCGCTGTTCCTCTCTTAGAAAGAAAACCTAAACTCTGAGGGGTGGTTTACAGTTATGAGATGAAGTTCATTAACTTTGTTATCAAAATACATTGGAAACTTTCACAAGAAACAAATCACAAAAAACATGCCGACAACCTGCATCAATTTACCCAGTATGGCAGGCCCTGTAATCTTATAAATACAAACATAGAAACAATTATGTTGAAATTTCAGAAAGGGTAACTTCAAATTTCAATTTAGAAACCTTGTTTTTTTTTTATTAATCTATTTAAAAGAGGAGTACTCCCTTGGAGGTACAGAATCTGCTCAAGTTTCTGGCATCTGAGGACATCACTCAAACAACAAATTTGTGTTCATTACTTTGGCAAGGCTAACAGTTTAAATGCTTCAGGGTTGTCACTGATGCCATTGATATAGATATACTAAGCCAGGTGATATTTATATTGTTACAGTTTCCCAACCTCAATATTTCCTGTATCTATTTTAGTTCTAAATAACCTTATTAATAGTCAAATATCAATGATGCCATTGTCTATGGATCCACTTACTTACAGTCTTTATAAAACAAACAATGCCTATTATAAACTACCAACATTTTATAATTCACTGTCAGTCCAGCATTAACTTAAACATTTTTCTTAATCAACACAGAACTTATTCCAAACTTTTGTTGATAGGGCACCCTCTATACACGGGACATTTACATGAACCGTTTGCTAATATGACATGAATTTAAAGTCTGTGTACTACCTGATAACAGAAACATGTAACAAAAAACTTTATAACACATACAAACAAGTCTGTTGAAGCATCAATCATATCCTATCTCAGTTAAAGCATCTGACACCAAACACATTCCTATTACAACTCCACATTTTATTTATACATTTCAAATCAGCAGGCATTGCAGGAAACATTACAACTTATGAAAACCACTGCACTAATACCGGAGTTGTTACCATAGTTACGCCATCTCTGCCATCAATGATGCAGGAGATGAACTTTAAGAAAGATGTTTGTGGCTCTGGTTTAAACACCTGAGCGGCAATCTAGGCCTGGTCAATTATTGACAGGTACAACACCTAGACGAGATTTACCTGGGAGGGACAAATATAAGATAACACCAGAGAAAACACCTCGCATCCCATGATAACAAATCATTGTTTTATAACCACTGTACAATGTACTTTTTTACCGATTTCTAATTTACGTTCGTGAATAATAAACTATTCGATTAATTCCGCCCTTTTTAAGTACTGTTACTTCTGTGTATAACTGATATAGGCTCTAACTGATAATTATGTTGACTGATGATACCAGTTATTTCAGTCCTTAACACTTATCCAACAGTACACTTGTCTTATACAGAACCTGTCTACAATGACCACCTCTATCACTTATCCAACAGTACAGTTGTCTAATACAGAACCTGTCTACAATAACCACCTCCATCACTTATCCAACAGTACAGTTGTCTAATACAGAACCTGTCTACAATGACCACCTCTGTCACTTATCCAACAGTACACTTGTCTAATACAGAACCTGTCTACAATGACACTTGTCTAATACAGAACCTGTCTACAATGACCACCTATATCACTTAACCAACAGTA